ATTCCTGACAATACATATGCTGTATCTATCTTAGGAAACACCAGACAAACCTAAATTGAAGGACATCATACATAACTGGCTATCAAAAATGTCAACGTCTTGAAAGACAAAAAAAATAAAATAACAAACTGTTCCAAATTAAATGAGACTCAAAAGACAAGACAACAACAAATGCAATGTATGGTGCTAGATGGGAGAGAAGGCGAGATTCCTTAAAATATATAAATGGGGGCCAGCGTCGCGGCTCAATAGGCTAATCCTCCGCCTGCAGCGCCGGCACACCGGGTTCTAGTCTCGGTCGGGGTGCCGGTTCTGTCCCGGTTGCTCCTCTTCCAGGCCAGCTCTCTGCTGTGGCCACGGAGTGCAGTGGAGGATGGCCCAGGTGCTTGGGCCCTATACCCCATGGGAGACCAGGAGGAGGCACCTGGCTCCTGGCTTCAGATCAGCACGGTGCACAGGCCACAGCGCGCCGGCCTCAGCGGCCATTGAGGGGTGAACCAACGAAAAAGGAAGACCTTCCTCTCTGTCTCTCTGTCTCTCTCTCTCACTGTCCACTCTGCCTGTCAAAAAAAAAAAAAAAAAATATATATATATATATATATATATATATAAATGGGGACTGTTCTCATGAACACGGGGAATACTATTGTATTGTATTGTATTGTATTCAAGTTTTCTGATTTTGCAATTGGTCTGTGATTGTATATAAGAGTGATTTATTCTCGGAACCGGCACTGTGGCTCACTTGGTTAATCCTCCCCCTGCAGCACCGGCATCCCATATGGGCACCGGATTCTAGTCCGGGTTGCTCCTCTTCCAGTCCAGCTCTCTGCTGCGGCCCAGGATGGCAGTGGAGGATGGCCCAAGTCCTTGGACGCCTGCACCCGCATGGGAGACCAGGAAGAAGCACCTGGCTCCTGGCTTCAGATTGGCGCAGCGCCGGCCATGGCAGCCATTTGGGGGGTGAACCAACGGAAGGAAGACCTTTCTCTCTGTCTCTCTCTCTCTCTCAGTCTAACTCTGTTAAATAAAAAAAAAAAGTGACTTATTCTCAGAAGGCAGACACTGAATTATGATGTAAAAGAGTATGATGTTTTCAAAAAAAAAAAAACCCGAGATAAATTTTTAAATATATATATAGATAAACACACACACACACACACACACACACACATACATACTTCTGGTTCAGCCTGGCTCAGACCCAGCCTTTGCAGCCATTTGGACAGTGACCCATGGATGGAAGACATCTCTCTCTCCCTCCCTATTAAAACTGCCTTTCAAATAAATAAATCTTAAAAAAAATTCCTGGAATCAAGTCTCTCCTCTCCTTCCAATCCAGCTTCTTGATAACGCACACGCTGTGAAGTAGCAGATGATGCCCTATGCACTTGGGTTCCTACCACCCACATGGGAGAGCTGGATGAGTTCTTGGCACCTGCCTGTGGCCTGGCACTGTCCCAGCTGTTGTAGGCATTTGGGGAATGAACCAGCAAACGCCAAGATCTTTTTCTATCTCCCTACCTCTGTCACTCTGCCTTTCAAATAAATTAACTAATCTTTAAAAAAAAAAAAAAAAGAGTATGATGTCTACAACTTAGTCTCAAACCATTCTAAAAAGTAGTAAATAGGGGCTGGTGCTGTGGTGTTGCGGGTAATGCCAGCACCACAGCCCATATGGGCGCCGGTTCGAGTCCCAGCCGCTCCACTTCCAATCCAGCTCTCTGCTATGACCTGGGAAAGCAGTAGAAGATGGCCCAAGTGCTTAAGCCCCTGCACCCACTTGGGAGACCCGGAGGAGGCTCCTGGCTCCTGGCTCCAGACTGGCGCAACTCTGGCAGTTGCGCCCATTTGGGGAGTGAACCAACAGATGGAAAACCTCTCTCTCTCTCTCTCTCTCTCTCTCTCTGCCTCTGCCTCTGCCTTTCTACACCTCTGCCTTTCAAATGAATAAATAAATATTTTTTAAAAAAAGCAGTAAGTGATAATAGTAGGTATTGGGTCCAGTGGTTCAGACACCCACATCCCATACTGCAGCACCTGGCTTCAATTCCTGGCTCTGGCTCCTGACACAAGCCTCCTGCTAATGCAGACCCTTGGAGGCAGTGATGACCCTGTAAGTAATTGGGGAAACCACCCACATGGGAAACCTGGGTTTAGTTCCTGGTTCCCAGACTTGGGCCTGGCCTGGGCCCAGCCCCAGCTATGGTGAGAATTTGCAGAGTGAACTGGCAGATGAGGATTTTCTCCCTCTCTCTCTGCCTCCCAAATAAATAATTCTTCTAAAAAAGAAAAATAGTTAAAACATGTGTAAACATACACAAAATAATGAAGTAAATGTTAATAGGTGAAACTAGAAAAGCACAATCATTTTTTGTTCTCTTTCAGTTTTCAATATATTTGAAAGTACTTCAAAATAAATTTTAAAATGCAAAAGTCTTCATTAAAGAAGTACAGTTAAGAGAAGTGATGCTGGACTTGTGGGAAACTGAAAACTATGCCGCCTAGTCATTCCTTTAAATAGATGAACCTTTATTTTTGGATATATCACATCCCTTTTTCTGTATTATACCGGCCCCCGGCACTCGGGCTTTCACCCAGCTGGTCGGTTTATCAGAAACTTGAGGTTACCAGGATGAAACACTGTTTAATACACTGTTATTCAGTACACTGTTATCATTACTTAGGACACTGTTTAATACACTGTTATTCAGTACCCTGTTATCATTACTTAGAACACTGTTTAGCACAAAACATTCTAATAGACATTGTTCAGAGCACTATCGACTAAATCATTAGTGCCCACTATGTATCATTCAATGTCAAATTTTTCTTTTAGCATTTAGTACTAAAAAAACCTTTTCAAATGAGAAACAGGTACTTCTCTTCCTTCCTGATGACGGGAATTACATAACAATGGTTCTTTTGTGATATTATCAGATAGAAAAACCCATGCCAGATGATGACCAACTACAGCAACCAATGGTCTACAGTCTGGGGTGATTTCCCAGGCCCATTCTTTCCCTTGGTCTTGGTTATTTTTATCTGCCATTGCACTGCTTTTTGTCCTATTTTGAGGCAAAAGTCAATCCAAAACCCAATTTAGCTGTCGGGGAAATGTAAGAACTACTAATACATTAAAGTAGGTAACGTTAGGGGCATCCAGGCTGCTCCTGGCCACACAATAGACATGGGCTATTCATGCCTGCTAACTGCAGCAGTTTCCATGACAGAATTATGTCCATGGGAAACCCACTGGGAAGACTCCCTAACACAGTTTCTAGGTCTCAACACCAAAGCCTACAACAACTGAAGCATGTGTCACAAAACAAAGATCTATTGAGGCCGAATGTCCCAGTGAGCAGTTACATTTATCACCTACCTCAAAAGATCTAAACTGAGCACATTTCAGATATTTATAGCAAGAATGAGTAAGGCCCCCAGCTTACTAACGTCAAAGGTATGACAAACTCTGTGAGCATTATTTGACTGCTACAAAACAAGAAATGCTTCGTTATTTCAATAGCTTTTGCCAGACCAAAAATACAAAAGCAAAAGCCTCACATGCAAATGTGACATTGGAAAATACTTCTACATGTTGCCTTCACCCATAACACAGCCAGGCCAGAGGGGCGCAGGGTGAACAATGAAACTGGAGGGAGGAGAAGAGTTAGGTCCTCAACAACTGGAGGGAGAACTGTAACATAATACTGATTCTGGCTTGTGTTTTGAGTATTAAAGCAATTTCTAAAAACTAAAAAGCCAAAAAACTTCTAGTACAATATTTCAAAAAGAAAAACTGGCACAAACAAAAAGGCCACAATTTTTCCCTGGCCCGGAACCACCACTGGTGGCTTGAGCAGCAAAGGCAAAGAACTATCAGTAGGAGATGGACTGTAGCAAATTAAAGACGACACCCCCACAAGGTTGTCAGGGAAACCAAACCAAGTGCATCTTTCTACACAACAGAATCAAGGGTAGGGAGACTGAGCCATGAAATATTCTGTGGCAAAACGATTAAACTCTCTTCTCAAAAAAAAAAAAAAAAATCTTTGAGAGGCTACATTTATGTCCGGGCTATTAAGTACTAAACCCACAATGCAAGCAAGCAAGCTTGTATTCCCAAACTATCAGCAATCATCTCGCTGAAAATCAGCGATTGGAAATACAAGACATTCCCTGAAGTCCGTTCTAAATAGCTTGACACCCCAAGAAGCCATCACATCCCTAAAAGACCAACCTATACCACAAACAGGTTTTCCCAAATCTACACTGCTTTTCCAAAATGGAGTCTTTTCAAACATCTTGTGTAAACAAAAAGGCAAGTCTCCGCAAAACTAAAAGCAAGACGTTATACTGAGTGTGCCCTTTCACCCTGGAAAAGAGCAGAGTGGGCATTACACAGGCTGTCGGAGTTGGCAATCAATGTAAATATCTCCACAAGTAGGCGGCAAAAAGCATGGGCCAGGAGAAATGACACGCGCCTGAGGGCACAGAACCAAGGCCAGCAAACATCAGAGGGCAGGGGCAACGTTAGCCGGCAGGTAAGTGACGTTAAAAAAAAACACACCCGCAGTGATGGGTGCCCCAGAGGCACTCCAGCAAGGTGAGATGCGGCTGACCTCGGATTCCCGACAGGGTGTCCATCCCGGAGGCCGGCGCGGGGCTGCGCGCCCAGGGCACCCTCCCGCCGGGCCACGTGAGAAGGGGACAGGCCAGGAGAAGTGGGCACACGGACTGGACACTACGTCCCTCCCCCTCAGTCACCTTCTTCTCGTGGCCCTTCCCAAAAGGGACATCACAGCATCAGGGCTACGCCTGATGGGAGCGGCGGGGGCCGCGCGGAGACCCCGGAGGCAGTGACCCCACTGTCAGTGCCCAGTCATGGGTCCCTGAGTTCCGGAGCGGCGAGCGCAACTCGACCACCAGGTGAGGGCAAGGTGCCCGGGGCCGGGAGCGGGTCCGCGGAGGAGCGGGGGTAGACGCCGAGCGGGTCTTACCCGGTGCCACAGTCCACCACGCAGGGAGGCAGGGAGCCCGCCATGGTCTGGACGCGCGGCGCTCAGGCGCCGGCCGCACCGCTGCCAGCTCACCTGCGTGCCGCCTCTCCAGCGAGCCTCCGCAGCGCCGCCGCCGGGAGCCCGGATGCTCCGTGGCCGCCACGTGACGCCACCCCCGGACTAGCCAATCGGAACGCGCGAGCCCCGCCCCCTTCACTCGCCATCTTTGGTGCTGGCAGCGAAGCTTTTAAGCCCATACGTCCAACCTTCAGGCTGGAGAGGCTGGGGGTTATTTTTAACTGACCTGCGGTTAACGTGACCCTGTTTCCAAGGCATGACTCCTTGCTCATCCTTTAAGTCTCAGCTAAATTGTCACCTTCTCAGGGAAGTTGTCCCCGATCACCCAAACTAGGTCCCCTCCCCACACTTTAGTCTCTGTCTCTACCATCTCATTCTTGGAAGCAAATTTTTTTAATATTTATTTATTTGTAATCTTTCCACTGGCCAGTAGGCTGTGCTGGGAAAGGGTTCCAGTCTGACTATTGTTGATGGATGCATAACACAGTATTGAGTGCAAACATGGAAAACACCCAAGTGAATGAGTGAATAATTTTCACCATATAGAGAAAAAATATTACAATTATCATATCTGGCAGAGCACTGCACAATTTATTCTAAGAAGAAAAATCTGGAAGACAAATGCATGGCTAACCTTAAGGAATGAATGACCTCAGACTGAGATAATACCGTACCTTTAGTATTACTGGAAACTACTTTCAAGTATCAAAGACAAGATCATTATCCAAAACTTCTTAGGGAAATCAGAGACTGAAGAAGGCAAAACCTACCCACCATGCTATAAAGGTACCAAATGTCCCACTGCTGCCAACTTCTTGTCCTATTATAAATTCTTAGCATTAATTTTTAGGGAGTTTTCTAGAAAGACACGTGTTTCATAACTTTTTTTTCTCTAGGAAAACAGTAGATGTGTTGATAATTCCAGTTTAACCATTATCATTTTTTTTCTTACATGTTTGAGTTAAATAAAGCCCAGATGTAAAAAATGTTCAGGAGAAGAGAAGAGAAGAGGAGTGGAGAAGAGGGGAAGAGAGGAGAGAGGAGGAGGAGAGGGGAGGGGAGAAGAAAAGAATAAGGGTGGCACTGTGGTGTAGAGGGTAAAGCCACCACCTGTGATACCAGCATCCCATTTGGACACCAGTTGGGGTCCTGACTGCTCCACTCCAATCCAGCTCCCTGCTAATGCTCCTGGGAAAGCAGTGGAAGATGACCCAAGTCCTTGGGCCCTTACATCCACGTGGGAGACCTAGAAGCTCCTGGCACCTAGATTTGGTCTGGCCAGCCCTGGCCATTGCAGCCATTTGGGAAGTGAACCATTGGATAGAAAATTTCTCTGTCTCTCCCTCTCCCTATAACTCTGCCTTTCAAATAAATAAATAAATCTTTATATTAAAAAAAGAAGAAGAAGGGCCGATGCTGTGGCGTAGCAGGTAAAGCCGTTGCCTGCAGTGCCGGCATCCCACATGGCCACCGGTTCGAGTCCCAGCCACTCCACTTCCAATCCAGCTCTCTGCTATGGCCTGGGAAAGCAGTAGAAGATGGCCCAAGGCCTTGGGACCCTGCACCCTGGTAGGAGACCCGGAGGAAGCTCCTGGTTCCTGGTTTCAAATCGGCACAGCTCTGCCCAAAGCACCCAATTGGGGAGTGACCCAGCGGGTGGAAGACTGCTCTCTGCCTCTCCTCTCTGTGCAACTCTGCCTTTCAAATAAATAAATAAATCCTAAAAAAATAAAAATAAATAAATGGCTCTTTAAAAAAAAAAGAATAGAAGAATCAGGCATAGAACCCAAAGAGCAGGGAAAAAGATCGGCTTAGCTATTTCCTGCTTTACCAAGGCCCTGCCCAGCTCTCATTTTTTCATAGACCTTGCTAAAACAGTGTAGATAAATTTTAGATTACAGACTGTTGGCACCGCTGTGTCTTTTATTTTCACTTACTTAATGCATATTTATCAAGCGCCTACCATGAGTCATGCTTTGTATTAGGGCATGCAACAATCAGCAGGATGTTCAGAGTATCTTTTCCCAAGAGCCTAGTGAGAGGTAGTGACAGTAAATAGACAATCACAATATAATGTGGTAAATGCTAAAATGGGGCAAGTCCATTAAAGGGACACTTAGCCCTGACTTGGCTTCTCAAAGGAAACTCAAATGCAGAAGGTGGGTAGAAAGTAGCTAGGTACAAGAAGAACGTGGGTGGAAAGTGTTTCTGGGACAGGAAACATATACAAGAATCAGGAAGACCTCAAGCCTCATGTAAGACCCAGTCCAAGCCGGCGCCGTGGCTCAATAGGCTAATCCTCCACCTTGCGGCGCCGGCAAACCGGGTTCTAGTCCCGGTTGGGGCGCCGGATTCTGTCCCGGTTGCCCCTCTTCCAGGCCAGCTCTCTGCTATGGCCAGGGAGTGCAGTGGAGGATGGCCCAGGTGCTTGGGCCCTGCACCCCATGGGAGACCAGGAAAAGCACCTGGCTCCTGGCTCCTGCCAGGATCAGCGCGGTGCGCCGGCTGCAGCGGCGGCCATTGGAGGGTGAACCAGCGGCAAAGGAAGACCTTTCTCTCTCTGTCTCTCTCTCACTGTCCACTCTGCCTGTCAAAAAAAAAAAAAAAAAGACCCAGTCCACTTTACAGTGAAAAGCCTTTGTAGGAACTTGGGCGTACCTCTTCAGGGAGCGTCACCTCTGCATAGTACTCACTGGGAAGGGTCGCAAAAGCCATCAGCTAGTGGTAAATAAAAGATTTCCTGGTGTGTGGGCATTTGGCCTTGTGGTTAAGATGCCTCATCCCTCCTCACAGTACCAGGTTTGATACCTGGCACCGACTCCTGACTCCAGCTTCCTGCTAATGCAGACCCCGGGAGGCAGCAGTGATGGCCCACTCTGTTGGGTTCCTGACACACACATGGGGAACCTAACTTGAGTTCCCAGTTACTGGCCTTGGCTTCAGCCTTAGGCTAGCCCTCAGCTGTTGCAGACATTTGGGAAGAAAACCTGCAATTGGGAGCATATGCACTCTGTCTCCTCATCACAAATAAATAAGTAAATAAAAATATTTTTATTAAAAAAATTTCCTGACCTCAGTGAATTCCTTTAGATACCACTAACCCTTGAGGTATCAAAGGTTGTTATATGCACGTAACAGAAAACCTAACTAAAAGTGGCACACGGAATGAGCAAATTCTGTTCTCTCGCAGAACAGGAAATCTGGTAATTCCAGCATAATTCAACAACTCCATGACATCATCATGGACCTGTCCATTCAGTTCTACCAGGACCTGTGTCATTTATTTATTTATTTGAAAGGCAGTGTTACAGAGAGAGAGGAAGAGATATAGAAAGGGAGACTGTCCATCCATTGGTCACTCCCCACCTGGAACTGCATCCAGGTCTTCCAGGTAGGTGGCAGGAGTCCAAGCACTTGGGCATCTTCTGCTGCTTCCCAGGCACATTAGCAGGGAGATGGATCAGAGGTGGAGCAGCCAGGACTTGAACCAGTACCCACATGGGGATGCCAGCATCACAGGTGGCAGTTTAACCCACCACACCACAATACCAGCCCCAAGGCTCTGTGTCTTGGCCTTTGTACTCAAGCTTATGTCCCTTTAGTTTCAAGATGGCTACAGTTGCTCCATGTACCATGACCATATGGATGGACACAAGGCAGGCAGAATGTCCCCTCTGATTCCCTTTCTCAGAGGAAACTCCTTCCCAGAAGTCCCCGGCTGCTTTCCTTTTGTTCAGTTAACCAGCTCTGTTTTCCTAGGACAGCCATAACAAAACTCCACAAACCACGTGGCTTCAGCAGGCATTTTTGCTTTCAGAGTTCTGAAGGCCAGAGGACCCAAGTCCAGGTGTCAGAGCAGAGCCGTGCTCTCTCTGAACACGCTGGGGAAGAAGCGGTTCCATGCCTCTCTCTTACCTTCTGGTGTTACTGACAATCCTTGGCACTTCTCAGCTTGTACGTGCATCTCTCCAATCTGCCCGAATCTTCACACAGCCTTCTCCTCATCTTATAAGGACAACAGTCATAGTGGATGAGGACCCATCCCCATGACTTCCTCTTAAACTAATTACATCTGTACGTAAGATGTTTCCAGATATCACATTCACAAATACCAAAGGGTAGGACTTCAATGTGTCTTTTTAGGGGACACAATTCAACTCCTAAAGCCAGCCTGTGCCCAAAGCAGTCATCTGTTAGGGAAACTTATGTACTGTGTTAGAATATTATAAAAAACACCGTTGGTGGTGGGAAGCTTTGTGTCCTCTGAAGCAAATGGTTGCCAATCCCTGCCTGGAATTGGATTTAATAGGGAAGAAGAGCCACTGTGTACAGACACAGTGTGAGGAGATGAGGAGGTGGCTACCTGCAAACCCAGAGAGAGCAGAGCAGAACCCAAACACATAGACAGCCTCACCTCACCATTCCAGTCTCCAGAACCTGAGAAAATAAACTTCTGTTGATGAAGCCCTGCAGCCTCTCGTATTTTATTATGGCAGTTTGAACAAACTAAGACAATCCCTAATATAGCGTTCTGTGTTATCCTTCTCGGACAGTAAACTCCTATACATCCAAGACTGATTGCATCTGTTTTGACAGTGCCTGGGCAAAACACCCGCAGAGATATAAACTTCGCACTCTATAAGAAGCACTTCAAGTACAATTTTTATCATACTGCCAAGGAGGTTTGCTCTCTCCTATACTTTGCAAAATGCCTGCTACTAAATACACATCAACCTACGATTCCTTTCCCTTTGAGTAGCTCAGCCTGGCTCCCTGACTTGGATCCTGCGTTCAACTTGTAATGAAAGGGCTGCTTTAATTGGCTTTCACTAGCAGGAAGAGGCATCTGTTTCTTGTGCCTTTACCTAGCAATACCTCTTACCCCACCCATTCCAAACAAGACAAAACATGGAAACCTTCAAGACCTCTGGGGCCTGCATTGTAGCGCAGCAGGTTAAGACACTCCCTGCAACACCTGCAACTCATAGGGGCGGTGGTTGGACTCCCAGCTGCTCCATTTTCCATCCAGTTATCTGCTAATGCACCTGAGAAAGCAGCAGGTGATGGCCCAACGTGCCATTTGGAAG